GGGGGAACCCGTGGGAGGACCTGAACTGAGTTCCGCCCGCGTGACTCAGTCGCCGCAGGCGCATGCAAGAGAGTTCTCATCCACGCGCGGCACGCGTGTTGGATTAGTAATTACCTGTGCTGGTCGGCTAAGCCGGTCCAGCGGAGAGAATTTATTTAACGTGATGGTGGGAGTCGTCGGGCCTCTTCAGCCCTTGGCCCCCTAGCAGCCACCGTTGAGCCGTAAAAGTTTTTGGGGTTGGCTCCGGTGGTTGCGCATATGTATAGGCCAGGGGCGCTGTGGCTGGATGGGTTCTACGAGGCCCGCCGCGGGGGGGGGGGGGGTAAATATGCCCCTCTCCGCCTCGTCTTCAAATGTAACTTAAGTCAACTTGCAACTTGCATGCTACGCATTGCCTGCCTGAACTAATGCTGCATCCTGCAGCTGTATTGATTGCTCAAGCAAGCTTGTCTTTGCTTGCAGGAGAGAAAAGGAGCGCGCCAGCCCTCGGCCGTCGTGCGTCGTCGGTCGTAGGCCGGCCGGCCTCCTCCCTACGCATTCCTGATAGAGTAATCTTGCTTACCGGATACTTGTCTTATCGATGTCTCATCCCGCCCCCTCTCTCCCTGAGCAGAGTGAACAAGAGATCTTGATTCCTTTGGCATCTGATCCCGGTTCTCAGAGGAAAGACTCGCTCGTGGGCCGTATCGGGCCGTCGGAATGCCGAAAAGACGCAAATGTCAAAATCCTTCAAAAACCTATGGGCAATCAGTGTTTGTGGCTTTTTTTTATTGCCCTCCTGGAGGCCCTCTTGGGCCGTCTTGGGCCAGTTTCGAGCCAACTTCGGCCATCTTTGTGGGCTCCTGGCCCGTCTGACGCCGTCGGAAGCCGTTTGGTGAGCCTTTCGGGGCCGATTTGGGGCCCTCTTGGGGTGTTCCAGGGCCGTCTTAGAGGCCATTTTGGGCGTCTTGGAGGCCTCTTGGGTCGTCTTTGTGCCCTCTTGGGGCCGTTTGGGGGGCCTCTTGGGAGTCCTGAGGCCATCTTGGAGGCCTCTTGGGCGCTGTGGGGGCGATCTCGGGGGCCTCTTGGGCCGTCTTGGGTCGTCGGAATGCCGACCGAGAAGAAGCGAATGCCAAAATCCTTCAAAAACCTAGGGACGATCAATGATTTTGGCCTCTCCGGGCCCTCCTGGAGGACCTCTTGGGGGCTCATTGGCCGTCTTGGAGGCCTCTGGGGGGCCTCTGGGGCCGTCTTGGGTTGTCTTGGACTCTCTTGGGCCGTCTTGGAGGCCGTCTTGGACCATCTTGGGCGGACTTGGAGGCCATATTGGAGGCCATCTTGAGCCAACGTGGCCATCATGGAGGCCATCTTGAGCCGTCTTGGAGGAACAATTGTGCAATTGAGGTCCTTTCCGGGTGGCCGGCGGGACGGGCCGAAGCCCCAGGGGGAGTTCTTCTTGGAAAAAGAAACAAAACGAAAACCGAGAGGATTCAGCACGCCAGGCACCCCTGCGATGAATCGACAGGGGGCGACGGATCTAAGACCCCTACGGCGAATCACCGCCGCCCCGTGCCTTTTTGGAAGCGCCTAATATGTGGCCGAACGTTGACGCCAGACCTGCCAAGCCATCGGACCTTGTGTTCCCCGAATCGGTTTGGAAAGCCTTCGGGGAACACGTGGGCATCCTTTCCGTCTTTTCCTGCGCTGTGCTCAATCAGCCCACATGTGTGCGACGTGTCTGGTACGCCTTAAGCGCCGCGGTCTAAACCAACTGAGCTCTGAAATGCCGACGGGCACGAAAGATGAGAAAAGAAAGATGAGAAAAGAAAGAGAGCGAGAGCGAAAGAAGCGAGATGGGACACAAAGTGTGACAAATGCACATATGCATTCAGCCTGTCTGCGAACGTCGGCCAATCTCATTGTCGAGCGCCGTCTGACCGGCTCTACCCATGGATGGGAGGGAGAGGCGGGAAAGCAGAGAGCAGGGAAGAGAAGCGAGAGGAGAGGGCAGGGAAAAAGCAAATCCATGTGAAGATGCACACGCTGATGGCAGAATGGCCTCGCTCTCCCGGAAGCCTCCGCCATGAGAGAAACAGGCTTCGTTCGCCCGGAAGCCTTCTCTGTGGAATGCTGTCAGACCGCTCGCACACGAGAGAAGATTGGTGGGACCTGTGTCAACAAAGCAATATATGAAACAGCCTGCTCAGCTCATGACGCCCTGAGCCCTCTCAACAGAAGTGCCATCCCTCCGGCTAGGGATTGGGTCAGGGAGGGGGGGGGGAAAGGGAGGGGAGAAGGAGGCGAAGGGAGGGAAAGGCAGGGAGAGAAAGAGCAAACTGCACACACATTCCTTCCCGGAGAAGGTCTGGCTGGCTTCATTCACCCCGAAGCCTCTTCAAAGGGATGCCATGTCTCCGTCTAGTCAAGAGGGGGCGAGGGGGGGAAAGCAGAGCAGGGAATAACAACATGATACAACGTGAATTCATGAAAACTCACACACCTGCAGTGCTGTTACGTCATCCTACGGTGACGGCCTCACGAACGCAGATCGGTCTCAGAATCACTCCCACTTCCACTGTCCCGGCCACTGACGCGGATAGCGGCCGTGTAAATCATCTCGGAAGCCTGCAGCATAGCCCGGCGGCTGCCACTGCGTGGTGGCGTACGGGTTCTGCTGCCACGCATACACCGGGTACCCCTGCTGTACCCAAGGGGCCTGCTGCGCGAAGCCTGGCTGTGGCCCAGGCGCACTGTGCATGTACGGCTGAAACTGCATGGCGTGCTGACTCGGGTTCTCAGCTCCCGGCCCGAACAGCAGAGCGCGAAACCAGAATGGCATCGATGGAGACAAGTACATCGTTGCCGCTGTTGCCAAACCGGCAGCCCCGGCCCACGGAGTCTGCCAGCGGGTGCAGTAGGCAAACGCGAGGACCACAGCCACGTCGAAGGCGTCTTGGAGGCCTCTTGGGCTATCTTTCGGCGACCTTTGGGGGCTATTTGGCCGTCCCGGGCCGTCGGAAGGCCGAAAAGAAGGACATGTCAACATCCGTCAAAAACCTAAGGAAAATCTATGTTTTTCTGGCCTTCCTGGAGGCCCTCTTGGGGGCCTCTTGGGCCGTCTTGGGCCAGCTTCGAGCCAACTTCGGCCATCTTGGTGGGTTCCTGGCACGTCTGACGCCGTCGGGACCCGTCTTGGGGGCCTTTCTGGGCCAACGGGGGACCCTCTTGGGGCGCTTCGGGGCCGCCTTGGAGGCCATCTTGGGCGTCTTGGAGGCCATCGTGGGCGTGTTGGAGGCCTCTTGGGCCGTCTTGGGGCCCTCTTGGGGCCATCGTGGAGGCCACTTGGGCCGTCATGGGGCCCTCTTGGGGGCCTCTTGGGCGATCTTGGGGGCCTCTTGGGCCGTCTGGACCCGTTGGAATGCCGAGAAGAAGCAAATTCCAAAATCTTTCAAAAACATAAAGAAAATCAATGATTTTGGCCTCTTCGGGCCCTCCTGGAGGAGCTCTTGGAAGGCTCTTGGGCCGTCTTCGGGGCCTCTGGGGGGACTCTTGGGCAGTCGTGGGCCATCTTGACACCATCTACGGCCGTCTTGGGTGCATCTTGGGCCGTCTTGGCGGCATCTTGGGGACATCTGAGCCGTCTTGGAGGCCATCTTGGCCGTCTGCGAGGCCATCTCGAGCCATCTTGGAGGATTTTTTGCGATCGCTGAGCTCGTTTCCGGGCCTTCCGCGGCCCCGGCGGGACGCGCCGGAGCCCACTGGGAGAGTTCTTTTGGAAAAAGAACCAATACCAAAACCGACAGGGTTTGGCACGCTGGGCACCCCTTTGCTGAAGCAAAAGAGGGCGGCGGATCGAAGACGCCTACGGCGAATCACCGCCGCCCCCTGCCTTTTTGGAAGCGCCTATGTGGCCGAACGTTGAGGCCAGACCTGCCAAGGTATCGGACCACGTGTTCCCCGAATCGGTTTGGAAAGCCTTCGGGGAACACGTGGGCAGGCGGAAGGTCATCTTGGCCGTCTTGGAGGCCTCTTGGGCAAGCTTTGGGCGATCTTTGGGGCTTTTTGGGCCGTCTCGGGCCAGCTTCGAGCCAACTTCGGCCATCTTGGTGGGTTCCTGGCACGTCTGAAGCCGTCGGAAGCCGTTTGGGGGGCCTCTATGGGCCGACTTGGGGCCCGCTTGGAATGCTCCAGGGCCGTCTTGGAGGCCATCTTGGGCGTCTGGGAGGCCATCTTGGGCGTGTTGGAGGCCTCTTGGGCCCTCTTGGGGCCCTCTAGGGGCCATCTTGGAGGCCACTTGGGCCATCATGGGGCTCTCTTGGGGGCCTCTTGGGCGATCTTGGGGGCTTCTTGGGCCGTCTTGAGCCGTCGGAGAGCCGAAAAGGCGCAAATGCCAAAATCCTTCAAAAACCAATGGAAAATCAATGATTTTGGCCTCTTCGGACTCTCCTGGAGGACCTCTTGGAGGCCTCTTGGGCCGTCTGGGAGGCCTCTGGGGGGCCTCTTGGGCCGTCTTGGGCCGTCTTGGACTCTCTTGGGCCGTTTTGGAGGCCGTCTTGGACCATCTCGGGCGGACTTGGAGGCCATCTTGGGCCATCGTCGCGATTTGTTGAGGATGTCCCGAGCGAAACGGCCGTTTTTGGGCAGGAAATTGGGGAATTGAGGTCCTGGAAGGGTGGCCGGCGGGACGGGCCGAAGCCCACTGGGGAGTTCTTTTAGAAAAAGAACCAAAACCAAAACCTAACAGCTCATCCAGCACGCCGTGCACCCCTGCAAGCAGGGGGCGGCGGATTAGCGGCATTCGGCCCATCCCGCCACCGCGCCCAGGTTGTAGGTCAGAGGCTTCTTTGATGCCTGTCGGGGTCTCTGGAGAGACCTACTGGGAGCCTCGTGGAGACGGTTTTGGGGGTGTCTTGGAACTGTTGGAGGGCCTCTTGCGGGTCTTTTGGGGCTTTGTTTGGGTATCTTGGGGGCCTCCTGGGGCGCTCCACGTCGTGCTTGCGGCACGGTGGCGGATTATGGAGTGGACAGCTCTGTTCTCTCGACCGCCGTAGCGGGTCCCCTGAGATCTTCTTGCCTGATGGGGTGCCTTCGCCTGCTATTGCGGGAGCGTGCGCCCTCGCGTACGCGTATGGCCGTAATGTTGGGCCGCACGTGTCAAATATGTGTGCAGGAAGGAATTCATGGCGGTGGTGGACGCTGGCTTCTTGCACGGCCACGAAGGTGGCCATCGGAGCTGGGCCTGGAATGATTGCGTCTGGAAGACCTTCAATGAGCTGGGCACCGATCCCCAGGTGGCTGACGAACTCCCTTGTCGTCCAGTCAATGAAAAAAAGCTTAATGGTCAAAGCTGTGCGATCGCAGGCGTCGCGAGCAGCTTTCTTGTCAGAACGCGGCTCGTCCCGGATCTTCCCGCGTCGATGTCCTACGCTTCTTTGACGTCTCCCTCCGCCGCCGCCGTTCTCCTTGCCCAAACCTGATTGTCCAGTTAGGGGCCTGGCACCTCCCCGCTCTCTTGACGGGTCGCCCCCATTCGTCTCATTGGCTCCTTTTTGGCGCTGCTGCTGTAGACGCCTTGGCACCTGCAGCCACAGGAGCACACGCTTCATTGCAATGCCCCGCGTCCCATCATCGTCATCGTCATGGTCATGGTCATCGTCGTCACCATCATCATCATCATCATCATCATCATCATCATCATCATCACCATCATCATCAGCAGCAGCATCCGTAGCCATTTTGGCCCAAGCCATTTTGGTTCAAGCCATTTGGCTCGAGGCCACATGGCGGCTCCTCCACTGCCTTCGCGGGGTAGGCTCCCATTCCAGCTTCTCTTCACCGCGATCCATTCCATATTCAAGACCAGGTCCGAGCCTCGCGCCCCTGGCACATCCATACCAAAGACCAGGACAGAGCCTCGCGCACCTGGCACCTCCAAACCGAAGACCAGGTCCGAGCCCTGCGCCCCTGGCACATCGCGTTCGCCGCTGTTCCAGCCTAGGTCCACCCTCGTCCTCATCGTCTACGGGCTCTTCTCCGCCCTTTTTCAGCTCGTATCAGCAGGCCCTCGCCGTCAGGTACCAGTGCTATTTCGACCAATCACAATGTCATCTTCGAACTCGGACGACTCCCGCGCTACTGGTTAACGAACCTCTAGAAGTGGAGGCCTTTCTGGTGAAGTAGGTGGAGTGCGACGCAGTGACACTAGACAAACCAAACGACGTGCCCGACGGGAAGAAGAACGCGAACGTGACCGACGACGGGGCGGTCGATACAGAGTATGTGACCGTTCAAACAAACGTGATCCGCTTCAATGGCATGACCCTTGGCGCCCGGGTCGATCCTCAGCAGCCAGCGTCTCGCGTCCAGGACGTTCTGGAGGATGGGGTGGGGCCCGCCAACGTGAAGCTCCTGGATTTGCTCCTGCTCAAGGCGCCGCCCAGTATTTTCCCATGGATCAAGAAGAAGCCGAACGCCTCGCTGCCGAGATCGAGCTGGCCCCAACGTCTCCGCCACAGTAACTTCGAGCAGACGCTTAGCCGCTTCCTGCTCCTCGGCAGCACGCTGCAGCAGCCGCTCCCGAGCGACCCGCCATACCGCGACCTCCGCGACAGCAGCGCCCAGCAGCTGCTCCCCACGGACCTCCCCCACAGCCCCCGCAGCTTCCTGGAGGACCTGCACCTCCTGGACCTTCTGCTGCCATCGAGAGCGTGGTCAACGCGCAGCTCACCATGGCCACCCAACAGCTCAGCAACCTCTTCGACACGACCAGGGAACATGCGCGACAGGATCTTCGCGCCACCATCGAGCAATACTACGCCCCGCAGCAAACCCGCATCGAGCAAGCCGAACGTGAATTTGGACAAATCCGCCGCCGCCAAGATGAACAATCATCGCAACAGGAAGACCTTCGCCAAGCAGTGCGTCGACTCGAACAGGCAGCTTCTTTCGCTGAAGCACAGATTCCGACCGTCGACCTCGTCAACTTCGCGGACTACGAGCGCGAGCCGAACCCGTGCCTCTTCCAGATCGGCGCCCCGAACAACATCCAACCTGCTGAAGTGCGACGCGCCCTCGACCCCTGGGCACAGGATGCTCAGCTGACTGCCGAACGCGTGCATCTACGCAAGGATGCCCCTGCTCGCCGCTTTCATCTACACGTCCGGGGCGGACCTGAAGTCGCCCGACCCCGCGTGCTCGCTCTCGCTCGAGCTCTCAAGCTTACTGGAGGCAGATGGCGCGCATTCCCGGCCCCTAGCGTCCAGAGCGCCGTCGCTCCGCTCGACATCTCCCCCGTCGAATCGCCCAAGCAGGTCCGCGATGAGCTCCAGACCGAGCGCATCGCGCACACCCGGGGCGAGCATTGCATCCCCGACGTCACCTTCGGAACTCTGCGCCAGTCGGGCATCGCGCAGCCGGGCGCGATGCCGATCGTGGAGATCCAGCCGCAAGGCCTCCGCGAGCAGTCCAAGCTCAACTGGGGCCCTGCGGCGGTCGCGCCCATGGGCATCGATAAATAATTTGTCAAAGAAAAACGTTTCGAGGCCTCCTACATGTCGATCGACGCCTCGACGTGGTTTATTCAACAGCAACTGGGCCCCATGGGAGGCCACCAAGCACAGGGGCTCTCTGCAGATTGTCTCCTGGAACGCACGTGGGCATCTCTGCCGCGATCCCCGACGTTGCCGCCTCAAGTTCCGGATGCTCGAGAACGCCTTCAGATCGCGGCCCCTCATCCTCATCTAGGAGCGCCGCGGCTCGCAGGCTGAGTTCGAGACCACGCTGGTTCGCCACCCCTTCTCGGCCTCTTACTTCGGCTTCCTTCAGGGATGCGAATCCAGAGGCGCTGGAGGCCTCGCCGCACTCGTCCCTGGCCTCACTCGCGCGGAGCGAGATCAGCTCCGCAACGGCGCTGCTGCTGGCCGCCCCCCGTCCTTCCTCAAGCCTGCCATCTCGCCCCGCGGCGTCGTCGGCGGCCGCCCTCAGCTCATCGCGGTTAACAGCCGCAACTCCGACCGCGAGATCCGCGCCCTCAATGTGCACAACTACGACTTCAACGACGCCCAGAAGAAAAGTCTCCGCGACGAGTGGGCCACCCGCGCGCAATGGTCCATCCGCGACCCGCCCCGCTTCGCGTTCATCGCCATGGGCGGCTTCAACTTCTCCGGCGAGCTCTCGCAGTCGCACCTCGCCCCCCAGGCCAGCCAGCGCCGCCGGACCGTCGAGGGTTGCTTCCAAGAGAACCAGAGCTTCTGGCGCAAGCTCGCCCGCTCCAACGCCATCGAGATCAGCTCCGACATCCCGACCCACTTCTCCACGGGCCACCAGGCGGGCACCACGATCGACAGGGCCTTCGCTGCCATCCCTGCCCCCTGAATTCCGCGCCTCCACTGTGAGCTCGACGTCGCGCAGGGCGCTGCGGCGCTGCCGGGCGCGCGCCTCAGCGGCCATGCCATCGCGAAGCTCGCGATCGAGAGCCGCCACCCTCCAGGGAAGGGCCAGCGCCCTATCCCCGACTTCGTCTTCCGCCCCGCGCAGTGCAATCCTCTCCTCGCGAAGGTGGTCAGAGAGGCAGAGCTGGGCAACATGGCCGACCTCCGCCGCTACGACGCTGCAAAGCAGATCATGATCATGGCCGCCGAACTCGCCTGCGGCGAGCTTCGGCACCTCCCGCTAGGCACAGGGGGCGCGGGCGCGCTGGTGAGTCGGCGCCCCGCTCTCAGGGCGATCGCCCGCGCACTTTGGCGCGCCGATCTGTCTGCAGCCAGTCCTTCAGCCGCCACCACTGAGCTAAAACAAAGATTCTCGGGCGCGCCGGGCCCCCCCCCCCAGCTCCGCGACGCGGCTGAGTTTCAGAATGTTGTCATCCGCAACAATCGCACGCGGCATGAGCGCGCGCAGCACCTGGCGCCCCAGCGCGCGGCCCGAGCGGATAACCTTCCGTCTCCGGGGGGGCAGCGGCGCATCCAGCGCGCGCTGCAGCGCCGCGCCGCGCCGCGGGCGCCTTTTTTTAAGCGTCTTATTCTGCGCGGCACCACCGCCAGCCAGATCGCGCATAATCTTCGCGCCATCGGAGGCGGGGCCAGCCCGCCGGCGGCGGCCAGAGAGCCGGAGCAAGTGGCACGCGCCCTTCAGCCCCATTGGGCCCCGATTTTCTTTGACAAACATGCTCCCGGCGACGAAACCGACGCTTGTCTGAACAGGGTCTCGCCGTCTTTCCCCGTCGCTGATCTGCCGATCCCGTCGCCCGATGCTCTGTTCCAGGCTTTCAAGCGGGGGCGGGGGCCCGCGCCTGGCCCAGATCGGCTTCCATATCAGGCTTGCACGGCTGTTCTTGCCACCATCGAATCCCTCTACCCCATCTTCATTCGCCTCTTCAGTGCCCTCCCCTGCCCCCCCCCCCTCAAACAATCCATTTTTCTGTTCCCGCAGAGGGGGGCAAGCCAGGCGACGCCTTCGAATGCCTGAGAGACGCGTCGGAGGTCAGACCGCTCTCTGTGAAGAACTGCGACTCCAAGGCATTTGTCTCGGCCACCAGCTATCAGCTAACGAAGCCTTCACAGAGCAGGGTCCACGGGGCCCCGCAGGGGATCACCCGCCGCCGCAAGTTTTGCCAGAACATTGCGAAGCTCGACGCGCGAGCGAGAGCGGTCGGATTCTACGAACAGGCTGGCTGCCGCCATCCACTTTTTGAAGCAGCTTCGACATCGAAGCAGCATTCCCAAGCATGAATCGCACGAGGCTGCTTGCGGTCCTTGAGCGCATGGGGGCTACCACCAGGATGCCTCGCTGCGACTCGCGGCCTGCATTCGCTGGCACTGGTCTCGGCGCGGGTTCGCGACGAGGTGGCCCCTCTGCCGATGATCAACTCTGGGGCCATGCAAGGATGTCCGCTAAACGGCTCCCTTTGGGTCTTCGGCATGGACACCATCATTCATTCGCTGGAGCTGGCGCTCCCACCTGACCCCCGCGAGGCCTCGATCGGCGGCTGTGCAGTTGACCTCGGCGGTGTCCTGGCTGAATTCACGTATCTCACTTCGCTTTGCCCCTCCTTCGCCTCTGCCTCGGGCCTCGCCTCGCTGCGCCTCCAACCCCTTCAAATGCGTGATAGTCCCCTTGTGGGCTCAGTGCTCAGATTACATAGCGCAGGAAGTGCGCGCCATGCTTCGCCAGCGGATCCCAGGATGGCAATCCTTTCCCGTCGCAGGTGCCGCCAAGTATCTAGGCGCGTTCCTGGGACCTGACGCCACCATGGCTCAGCAGTGGGCGGCATGCGCGCAGACGTCGCGGGGGAAAATCCTGAGGACCTCGGCCTCCAACTCGCCTCCTGACTCCTCCCGCCGCTTCTGCCAAGTCGCGATTCTCCCCGCCCTAGGCTACGCGGCGCAGTTTTATCCTCCGCTTAAGCGCTGCCCTCCAAGGAGCCGCGCTGCATCCAGGAGCCCCTGAGGCCGCCGCCGAGCCCAATGACGGGCCATGACCTTTGGTCGCAGCGCGCATGGGCGCCTGGTCCGACCCCGACATCCACTGCCCCATATTCTGCGGCGACTAGCTGGCGCACGGCGCGCGCCGCGATTCCCAATATCGCTGTCTGGCACGACGAGCCCGAAGAAGCCTCGTGGTCGGGCAA